ATTCATTAGTTAAACCATATTCAGCCCGACTTTAATGAAATTCCTAAACATCTCAATTTTTGAGTAATCTACTTTTTCGAGAATGTTGTATTTATAACCCTGAAACGTTGAGAAAACATCTGGGGAATCAGATTTAAAGCAAACACCCTTAACAGTTAATGAGGATAATTGATTTAGTAGTACGTCCCATGCTGTTATTGTTTTACCTTCTTCTTTAAATAATTTAATCATTTTGAGTGACTCTTTCATGTTTGACTGAAGAACGAATGATATTTGATTCATTTTGTCGTGGATATTATAGTCCTTTTGAATGAAATATTTGTTTCCACAATCTACAAAACGGATTACACGTGATAAATCCTCAATTACTTCAGAACTGTTTTTATACTGATGATTTTCAGCCTTGCGTCTAATATCTGTTATCAAAAACGAGTCATCAAGTTTTATATCAAATGTTATTTTTGGCTTACGTAATAAAGGTAAAACATATTCATCATAATATTCCTTTTGGTATAGTTTTAGAATCTTCACTAAAACAAATGGAGAAGTCATTAAATGTGCATATCTACTACGTGCTTTTTCAAAATTACTTTTTGCATTTTCAGTTAAATTGCAGAAGTTATAAACGTTATCGTATGCTTCATTAATTAAATGATTAGGTAACGAATTAATAGCTTGAAACAGTGTGAATAATGTTATTTCTTTTTCTAAATTCATGTTTCCACCGTCATTATGTACTTCAAAATCACTAATGCCATCAACTATGCTCTGGGCAAGTTTATCGTCAATGTTTACATCTTTGTTTTCATTCATTATACTCTTTATTTCTTCGTTCTTTTGTTCAACTCTTACCTTAATATTCAAATCATTTAATATATCATTTACTGTTCTAGTTAATGTTGAATCATAACTTCCACGAATGAATGAGTATGTATTGATTGGTTCTGATGCATTCTTGCGAACTCTTGAATCGGCCATAACCACTAAAGAACGTTTTGAATCATCCATAGAAGTCATTATGTCAATATCATAATCATTGCAGGAATAACATTTAATCATTCTGTTCGAAACTGCATAGAAGAAATTAGTGTTGCAATAAATGTGAAGACCTCCTGAAGCGGTTTTAACGATAACATCTTTATCCGAAAGTTTTGATAAAATGTCTTTTCTAACTGTTTCTTTAAGTTCATCATTGTACGATTTATTGATATCAACATCTATAATCGTTAAATTTGAAATTTTATTTACTAATAAAGCCATACCAGTTTTCCTTCCTCTTCCTCCATCGTGTTTGAGGTAGTTATGTAAATCAATCTTGTTTTCACCAATTCTTTCGTTGAGGGTTTTAGTTTCTGCCACAACTAATTCCTCAGCTAATGAATCAATAACTTTTTCATCAGAAATGATATAGTTGCTGTTGTTGTTTGTTGCTGTCATTTATATAGGAATAAAAAAATAAAAATAATTTTAAAACTAACTTTATTTTTGGACTGCATCAAATTTCCTGAACTGTTGTCAAAATGTCATGTTGTCTCATTTTTTCAGAGAAGTTAAATGACCTGGTAGCACATGGTAACATGGTAGCACCTTCAGTTCTTCAAAAATAATTCATAAATACCTTCCTCCTGTGTTGTTGTCAAAATGTCATGTTGTCTCATTTTTAAAAGAAGTTAATTAACCTGGTAGCACATGGTAACATGGTAGCACCTTCAGTTCTTCAAAAATAATTAATTATTGAATAACCTAAAAACCATTAACGTAAACATTATTTTTGGGTCATTTACACTCATTACGATGAAGTCATGACAAATCATTTCCGGGACTGTTGTCAAAATGTCATGTTGTCACAAACTTTAGAACGGCATAATTTAAATTTTTATTTTTATCATAAATGGATACCCCACAAGCTCAAAATTTACCACTAATCATAACAAGGGAGGAAACGATAAAAATGATGCGAGAACTTGCTAAAAATAACAAACCATAAAACTGAGAAAATGTGGTTATGCAGTAATGATGGAAAGAGAGACGTTGTCGAAGAGGAATAAAAATTAAATTTGGATAGAGTTTAAAAATTCATCTTTATTAAATTCATCTCTTCCAATCAATTTATTTATTCTATTAAATTCTTTTATTTTTGCTTCACTCAGTTTAAGGATTGAACGGTAAGTTTCTAACTTTTCAATTATTTCCTTCTTCTCTTTATCGTTTTCAATTACTTTAGTTTTATGGGCATCAACCCCACCGCATTGCGGCTTCTTTTTGTAATAGCATATTTTTGATTTAATTCTGTTTAGTTTCTTTTTATATTCATCGTCTGGACTCTGAATCTTAATTGAATCAGGACTCTTGGATGCTTTGTTGTCACTCATTTCTTACGAAATAAAAAAAATTAAATATTATTTAAATATAATGGAGTAATAAAATAAATCGGAATTTCTATTAATTTATTGTCAACTTCAACTAATGCATTGCCGTTAATATATCTAACAAATTCAGCTATTGTGTCAAATCTTCGTCTTCTTTTTGTCATTGATTTATTAGTTTTTTCCATAATCGAGATGAATCAAAACTTTATCCCCTTGTTTAAAATTCATGAGCCCCGAATTAATTTGTTCACGTTTAACATCATTTAACCTTTCCATTTGCTTTCTAATATATTCCCATTCTTTGAAATATCATTTTTCATTTCCACTGGTTTCATGTTTATTGTTCTATGCCATGTATTATTGTAATAATATACTAACTGCTGTATGATGGAGTCATGATTTCCATCCCAGTATATCTGACCGTTAACCCTAACGCATCTCTAAAGAGTTCTCATTACCGCATCAACTATTTTATTATGAAACGTATATGGAGAGGATGAAAAGAAAAAATTAATTTGTGGGAAATAATGAGCCATAGCTGCCTGAAATCCTTTATCACCATCACCCCTGATATTATCTACTCTTTCATGATCTAGTAAGTATTGTATAGCTCTTCTTGTTTCCTGTTCTGTTTTCCCTTTCACTGGAATGCAATATAAATATCTAGTGTTAATGTTAATGGCAAATAAATAAGTAACGTTTCCTTTTGAATATTCCAGATGATCGATTTCGTATGAATATGGATATGGAGCAAATGAAGGGCGACTAAATTTTTCCTTTAACGGTTGAATTTTTGGGTCAGTTGGTTTATTTAATATTTTGAAATCCTTTTTAAAATCTTTTTGCTTCTTTAATGTTTGAAATGGATATAATAAAGTGAATGATGAAGGATTAACTGAAGGAGGAGAGGTACTGTCGTTGGAGGTTTTGGTGTTGCAAGTGGTTTAATTTTATCTGCTTTGATTTTGGATTTCATTCCTTCCTTCATTAATTCTGGATGTATTCTATTCATTTGTTTTAAATATGCTGTATATAAAGGTTTGATATACTTTCCCGCTTCGAGTTTATGTTGAAGGATGAATTCCAAAAGTTGATCTTCATTTAAAAGTCGGGCTGAATATGGTTTAACTAATGAATCATAAATTAAAGCTTGTGCTTCATTTATGGTCTGAAGGACCTGGGTGTTTTGCACCTTTGGTTTTTGTGGCTCAGGATTATATAAATTATATAATTCATCAATATCTTCTTCTGTTAATACTTTATTTTTGAAATCTTTCAATTGTTTAAGTTGTGATTTAGTTTTTTCCTTTGTATATTCATTATTTTTAATTTTGTCTTTAATTTTAGAAATTATTTTATCATGATATTTCAAAACATCATTTTTATAATATGGATAATAATAATCCATATCATCACCCGTTATATTGTTATCATGTTTTTGGAGATATGATTTTAATTCATAATAATTAAGAAAATTTTGATTAAGTACTAAATCATCAATTAAATTTTTTAAATCTACGCTATTCATTTATATAAAAATAAAATAAGTGTTTTAAGGGTGCCCGCCTCTTTGAATCATAGTATCAAAACCATTATTTACGGTTCCTTTTGTCTCTTCTGTGGCATTTTATTAAAAATAAAATTTTAAATTGTATTAAATAAATGGCATACAACATCCATTTTCACAACATACAGCCTTAGTGTGTGCTCCTGTTAATGCAGTCTTACCGATTGTTAAGCGAGTCATTGACCTGTTTTTAAGTTGTAAATTAATATTCTGACCATCAAATATCACTTTATCATTTATTATATCCAAATATTTTTTGGTGTTAATTGCTTATTTTGTCGTAAACTAACACCTTCATTTTTTGTGCAATCTTTTTAAAATCACTTCCATCAATTGAACCGTTGAATGATGTATAACATTAGGGCATAAAGCAACCATGTTATCACCTTGTTTCTCAATTGCTAAACCCAATAATTTTTCTCATGTGCTTTTTCTTCAGCTTTATTCTTTAATTTAGGTTTAAATTTCTCATCAAAACAGAAGAAATCAAATGGTGCGAATTTGAAAATGTTTTTATCATAAAATTGTTTATCGGTTACAATTGCTTGAAATGCTTGAGTGTTAGGAAGATTTGGGTCGCCAGCAATAGCCCAATAAGATGAATCAGTATCACCTTCAATGAAATGAAAACGATTAACATCCATGCATTTATACATAAAATCATAAATGAAAACCAAATACCAGTATTTAGCATTATCTAAAGTGAAGAATGCCTCTTGTAAACATGATCACATCTATAAAATCTATCTTTGAGCATCACTTGATACGTATCTCTCCTATTTCTCTTATGTTTTTAAACTTATTTGACATACATGCAACGCGTGCCTTCTGTGCATTCATTATTTTAGTCTTTGCGTAATTTTGTGTATTCATTGCATCGTAACCATATGATCCATTAAGTGAAATCTTGCAAAATAAACTTTTTCCTTTATTTCCTTCTAATTCAGCCTTTTGTCTTTCGTTCATAAATTTGTTCGCAAATTCATTAAAACAAGTGTTTTTAGTAAATGTTAAAATTGATTGAATATCATCAATGATAAAATGAAATCTGTCTATTAGATACCAAGATAATAAGAAGAAAATGGTTGATATTGGTTGTGTGTTGATGCTAACTGAGTTAATTTCCTCTGTTTCTGGTCAACTGGTAGATTGTTTGATTTCATGTAATTATACATAAAACTACCAATTGTTTTTTCATCTGTGATAATATCTAAGTTTCTTATTATCGGTAAAAAGTTTATGTAATCATTAATGTATTTTTCATCAATGTGACCCTTTACTTCAGCCACGAATAAAGTATTTTTCTTCTTAATTATTCCCAGTGTTTTTGCTTTCTTTGTTGCTGTATCACAAATGATAACACCATTCAATCTTCCCGGCATATACATTTTATGGTCAGTATATTGAATGAAATCATGAGGATTAGATGAAAATGATGAAGGATATAATGAATTAAAGTCAACACCAACGAAATGAGTCATAATGTTGGTGGTGTCCTCATTTGATACAGTTTTAGTTTCTGGATTATATGAAAGTTTATTAATGTGCGTGATTCCTTTAAGATTTACTCTATGTTGAACATTTGATAAACCACCAGTAATTCCATTACGGAGAATGTGATAAGCTTCAACTGAATCTAAAGTCATTGGTAAATTATTTTTTAATGCATAATTTCTTAAATTGATTCTTAAACGTTGAACATCTTCATCTTTATTTGATTTTACGACATTGCAATAACAACACATTAACTGACAATTTTCTTTGGTATGTGGTTTTTCATTATCGATTCTATCCAATGTTGGTTTATTTGCATATGTAAACGCTTTACCACACATTTTGCATTTAGATGAAAGGATTAAATCGTGATAGTATTGAAAATCATCCATTGAAACATTATTTTTAGTATCCCTTTCTGCTTTTTCATCTTGTTTCTTATATGATTCAATTTTATATTTCCAATACTTTTTCGTTAATTCAAAACTTGATTCTATCTCTTCCTCAGGATATTTTTCATTAGGATTAAAGTCTTTATATGCTAAAGCGTAACGAATCATTGAAGCATTCGATGATAAAGAAAGATTATGAAGCATGTCAATTTTATAAACAAATGTTTCTTCAATAATTTTATCAATTGGGTCAATCATAATTTCAACATCTTTATTGCAATAATGAATAAAATATTCTAATCTATTCTTAAAATTTTTAGCATCATTGAGATATATTTGATAATCACTATCTGATATAGTTTCTTGGTTAATGCTGAATAAAATGAATCTTTCGTGAATGGTTCCACTTTATATAATTCTTCTTCGTAATTTTCCCATGTGATGAATTGATAAGGGAAAAAGGATTTAACACGTGATTTATTGTTTCCGAAATCTTGAGTGAATTGGTCTAATGTCCCACCCGCTATATAATTTCTGATGTCAATAAATCTCAATTCATATGGAACGTTTGTTTTCTTTACAATGATTTGCTTAAATTGTGAAGATGAACCCAGCATTGATTTTATTTTCCATTTTGCAGTGTTTAAATCACGAAGAATTAAATTTAAATCAAACTTTCCCGAATTAAAACCTATGATATTCACTTTATTGAATTCCTCATCTAGAAGTTCTTTAAATGCTTCCTTCTGTTTTTCATTTAATGTATGAGACAAAGTCCCCGCCGTTTGCGACTTCAATAATTCATTGTATTGTCATATTTGATTCAACAACTAATGAACAGGTTGAAAATAAAAACTCAATCCAATCAGAAATAAAAGAATCACTCGAAGTTAAGCAAAAATTCCTCGTATATGTTTTATCATTTAATTTAACCGTTGATGATACCATGAATGGTTTTAAGTAAGCATTCAAAGTTGCACACTCAGAAAGTTGTAATTCTTCTTTAGTCTCTAATGTTTCGAAGTCAAAAGTAATATAATATCTTGTTGGTTTATAATATTCCTGCAAATTATGTGCTAATAGCCATTGATATATCTTCTGTTTCGTGATATGTGGTGCATATGGTTGCTGTGTCTTTTGCAACTGAACGTCTTGAATTAATCTTCCATTATTTTCTTTACATTTCTCACAATGCTTTAAAAATCTTCTTTGGTTTTTCCTTTCTGGATCATCACGGATAGAATAAACTTCTTCTTTACAATATGGACAAACTTTATAGCCGGTGAGTGCTTCTACGTCTGTTATTCTGTCAGCGTGAAGTTTTCCACATGGACTCTGTGTTAATAAAATATTTACTGTTTCAAATTCTGGATCTATCATTATTGATTCCACTAATGGAAAGTCTACCTTATTTATGTCCACGTCTTCTGGTTGAGGATCACAATAATAGAAATCAATATTAACATTTAACATTCTCGCCAATCTCTCACTTTCTGATGAAATGTCAAACCCTTCATATGCATCTATTGCTTCATTTAAATAGCTTCTACGAGTTTTAGGATTAACACCATCAGGAATGTTATAGAAGCGTTTAAATAACCTTCTACCTTCTGCTCTAATTTGATTATCATTCATTTTAGCTGTTCCGTTTTTGTTCATTTATGTAAGAATAAAAAATTAAAAAATAAATAAAAATAAAGTTTATTTTTTAAAGCCCATAAAATGAATTAAGAACACATAAATTTTTATCATCTGCGACGTGACGAATACATTTTAATTTACTCAAGAATGCGTACCCTGATACATTAAATCTAATTCCTGTCTTATTTAATTTCACAACTTTGAAAAGGAATGTATGAATAGCTATAAAATGATGAGAAGATGTTTTATGGGTTGCTTCCATTTTTTCTGAAATAAATGAATAAATATAATGCTTATACGTTTTCATATCTTTTATATTCTTAATAACGAATGGTATAGACCTTTCAACTTCGTCTTCCTTCGGTGCTGTTCTTTCATATGAAACATTATTGGTATCTTCAATAATGAAACCACAATCACACAAAATTTTATAGTTCCAATGGTTTCTTTTGATATTTTATCTAATAAATCAAAAACTTTATCAACACCTGTGCATTTATTTAAATAATAATTTGTGTAAATATCATGATCTTCTTTCTTAATCGTATTAGTTGCATATGTCACGTTTTTAAGAGCTTTTTTGAATTTTTCGGAATCTAAAGGTGGTGAAAGTAGGATACAGGGGTATTCTTCATTATCAATAAATTGTAACTTATGTTTACGAATAAATTTAGTACCTTCTTCTGAAAGTGTTTCGTCTATTTCACCATCTAATAAATTTTGTGTTGATTCTGAGACATAATTTTTATATCTTTCTTCATGAGATTTCTGAACTTCTGATTCTGAAGCTGGGATATTCATTAAACCTCTACTTCATTTTCATTATATTTTTCAACTTCTCTTAATTCCTTAATTTTTTCATCTATTTCATCTCTTATTTTTTTCAGTCTTTCAATTTCATTGTATTCATCATCATCTTTAATCCGTTCTTCATAATATTCAGGGAAAACATCAGGTTCTTTAGGTTTTTCTTCTTCAGATGTGGGATATAAGAAATTTATAACATCATCTTTATTCATTTTTCCATCATAATCTAAATCATTTAATAACTCGGCAAATTTTTGACAATTTCTTAAATAATATTTACTAACTTCATAACACATCTCATCTAATATATCCTTTATTTCCTCGTTTGTGAATCCTAATTTTTTAACGTTGTTAGTTTTGACGCTCATTTCATACGAATTAAAAATAAATTATTCAAAAATGTAAGACATAATTTTTAAAGTTTATTTTTTTAAAATTTTTTTATTTTTTTATTTTTTATTTCATTATGGTAGTGAATCTTTTATTCATGAAAATAATTATTTCTAATTTCTTTTACTCTCTCATACATACTAGATTTAAAGAATTCAGAACATTTCCCATAATCTCCTAAATGTTTTCTTATCCCTAACGTGTGCCAGTTATTATATGAAACTGAATAAACTTTATCTTTATCTTTGCATCTTTCATCACTTCCAATATATTTATATCTCAGTTTTGATTTATTGGTTTCATATTCAAAAAAAAAAAAAGGTAGTGGGGCTTCCAGGGGCTGCGCCCCTTCTAGCCCTGAAGTTTATATTCGGAGGGCTTCCAAGCGCGTTGCGCCCTCTAGACCTGAAGATGTTTAGTATAAATGAAGTTTTTATTCGGAGGGCTTCCAGGAGCTTTTCACAAATTATATATGTTTTCATGTTTTGTCACTTTTCTGTCACTTTTCAGGAAAAAACATTTTTATTATTATATATAAATGAATTTTACAAAACCACCGTTACCGTTCTTTGGAAATAAGAGTAAATGTAAAGATATTCTATTGAGAGAACTTAAGAAACTACCGAATGGTCTAACATTTGTAGATTTGTTCGGTGGAAGTTTCTATATATCCCATTTGTGCCATACAATATTCCCAGACTCAAAGATTATATGCAATGACTTCGACAACTATATGGACCGTCTCAAACATATTCCAGACACAAACAATATATTGAAAGCGTTAAAAGAAAAGATACCTATAGGCAAGATGGAACGTATACCATTAGATAACAAAAATATTGTGAGAGAGGTTTTGAAAAAAGCAGAATATATAGACTGGGATAGTATATCTGCTAGACTATTATATAGTGGTTCTATAAGAGTTCATGACATTGAAACACTTATGTCAAATGTTTTATATCTTAACTATACAAATGTTTTCAAAGAGAACATAGAAAAATATATTGAGGGTATAGAGTTTGTGAGATGTCATTGGACAGAGTTGTATGAAAAATATAAAGACAAGGAAAATGTTTTCTTTATAGTGGACCCGCCGTTCTATAACACATGGGATTTTCAATACCAAGTAGACTGGACTTTGAGAGACTCTTTAGAAACTTTAGACGTTTTACATAACTGTCCATGCTTTTACTTTACATCCGATAAAAGTGGTTTGGAAACCGTTATGAGATGGTTAGAGGACATACATGACTATGAGTTTAGATATGACAAGATAGAATATGAGAGAGGTCCTATAAACCGGAGAAAGTGTCATAACAAAGAAATTTTACTAGTAAGTAAATGTGGTTTGAAATAGGACTACTTGTTTTAGGTTTTTTCCATTGTGTCATTTATTTATTTGACGTGGCAGAAAAGTACAGAGAATATGAAGATGAACCAATGCCTGCAAATGTCCAGTATATGTACTCGTAAGAGATATTTTTATCTAATATTAAATGGACGCACAGAACTTAGCGAATGCACAGCAACCTGGACAACCAAACCCAGAGAATATTCCAAATGAAGTTAGAATACAAACTGCAATGGCAAACTATGGTCAAGTGCCAACAGATGTACAAATGCAAACTGCCATGTCAAATGACGCTGCGTTAGGTTTGCCACCATGGTATGCAAATATGAGATGGAAAGAGTTTTATACAAACCCTGAAGTGGGATATAAACAACTCTATGCAGATGACGCGAACACAGGAGTTGACCCAGAATATGTTTTCTACCAGAGGAGAAACAGAATGTATGAGCTCCAGTTAAAGAATGCTATGGAACTCAACAGGAAACGTAAGAGACTAGGCGGACATTAGATTTTTACATATAGTAAAATGGGTTTCTTCAGTAGTATTGGAAACTTCTTCAGAAGAGTTGGAAGAGGTATATGGAATGGAATAAAAACCGTAGGAAGAGGAATTTGGAACGGAGTCAAAAATATTGGTAAAAGAGTAGGTCAGTTCGTTGGTATTATACCTAAAGACCCTGAACCAGAAGAGCAAGCTCCTGTTATACAACAGCCTGAACCTGCACCACAGTCAAGTTGGCAACCAAATCCAACACCTCAACCGTATTAAAAAATTATATTTTTACCGTTCGATAGTAGTTGTATATGAAACTAAGTTCTAAGTAAAACGCATGTATAATGGAATTATTCTTTTTCTTCCATCTGTAGTAAACCATACTTGAAAGTCTGAAATACTTCCACTCGGCGGTTCGTATAACTTTGTAGGTTTTTCGTAAAAGTCATTTGCCAAGCATAAGAAAGAGTTTTGGGCGCCAGAAAA